AACCTGGAATGATTTTATAGGGTATCTAGGATTGAGAACCACTGCAATAGGTGGATACAGGTAGTACACAGTCTGGTAAGGTTCCTTTGCTTGTACTACAGTAAACAAGCACATTTCTTGGAGATCCTTTCTCTGTTTTATGTAGGCATGGCAATGACCAACGCGTGTTCCGTTTAGAGTTTGTCTCAAATCAAGAATTCACCGAAAGTGAATTTATGAAGTGGAAAGAAGCGGTACGTGACTAGAGATTACCTAGCAGTTGTTCATGCACGTTGAGAAAAATATCTTTCTAAAATCCCTTACTAATAACCTTGTATTGTATTTTTGATCCAGATGTTCTCTGCTGGCATGCAGTTGCCCACTCTAGATGAAATCAGTAAAAAGGAATTATCTATTAAAGAAGCTCTTAATTATAAATTTAATGATCAGGACATTGAAGAGGTAAGAAACCTGGTGACCCAGAGCCTGGAGGTTCATCAAGAACCAGTGTTCAGAGAAGAACATGATCCTCTTATTTCCCTGTATCTTGACATTTTTAGCTATGCATAAAAATGAGGGAATACTAATATTACTACCTTATTATTTATAGTTCATTGAGCTTTTTTCTATCCATTCTCATGTCCAGATGAGGCTAACGTAGACTAAAGTGTATTCAGAGTTCAGATGAGACAGCAAATGAGACTACTTACACTAAAGTGTATTTAGAGTTCAGGGATCTGTATTCTGCTAGGCTTGATCCTTCAAGAGTTTTCCTTCTCCAAAACATCTTGGTAAAATTATTTGATCTCTGTTCTCTTGGACAGTGGCTAGCCTTACACTGCCAGGCCCTTGGGTTGCTGCTGTTTATTGGTGCATGTTCCTTCAGACTGTCCCAGAAGAATCTCCGTGACCCGGGAAGCAGCATAGTATCCCTTGGAATGAACTCGCTGTCTTTCTCTCTGGGGCATGATACTGCTATAGGAAGAGCAGCCCCCTTGTAACTAGCTGTTTGCGTCCAAAATGGGCTCACTTAGCCTGTCTACAAAAATAGCTTAGGAATACCTCACTGCTGGTATCTCCTCTCTGGTACAGATTGTAAAAGAGAAAGAAAGGTTCAGAAAAGCTCCACCGAACTACGCTATGAAGAAGACTCAGCTACTGAAGGAAAAGGTAAGGGTTTGTGCTCAAGCCTCTTTTCTCAGCCTGTAAGGAGATGTGGAAATCAGACTTGTTCATCCTCTGCCAAGTTAGTGGTGGCAGGATTGGGAGAAAATTCTGGGCTCGATTATAAGCAACACAGTGTGTTCTTGTCACCTGGGCAACGTTCCTTGGCCATTTTCCATTCCCTAAATTCAAACTGATCTTCTGTGTGCCAATCTTCTGACTTTCTAGTCACTTTAGTTTCCTGCGTAATAAAATAGATCCTGGGGTAGTATTCAACACTGGTCTGAACAGACAGATGACACTGTCAGGGCCACCTGTGGCAGGTGATTTTCCATTCTTCACACCAGGTTGGGGTGGGCCTTGTTATGGTGGTTTAGTCACCCTATGAGGCCTGGGGTTCTACTGCCACCAGGGACCCACAGCCAGGTAGCAGTATGGGAAGATGTTCCCCACTGTACTGTGCGCTACTATAGTGTAAATTATATCTTGTGTTTGTAAAGTACTTCTGCAATATTCTTCCACATCTGCTGTCCTGAGCTTACCACATGAGATAACTTGCCTGTGCTGGAAGTAAGGGGAGACTTGATACAGAGCCAGTTGTAGCCAAGAACTCACACATCTCTCTGTGTAGGCCATGGCTGAGGACCTGGGGGATCAGGACAAGGCCAAACAAATCCAAGATCAGCTGAATGAGCTGGAGGAACGGGCAGAGGCCCTGGACCGCCAGCGGACCAAGAACATATCTGCTATCAGGTGTGTTATGGAGCCTGTTTTTGGCCCATAGACTTTGGCCAAAATTATCAGGCAAGCCTGTGGCCTGTACACTCTGTGCTGCACTGACCCCACAGGTATCTGGGTTCAGGGCTCAGTGACTCCCTCCCTCCCTTCCTCCTTTCACAGTCACTGACTCATCCCTCTTACTCACCCCATAGTTACATCAATCAGCGGAACCGGGAGTGGAACATTGTGGAGTCTGAGAAGGCCCTTGTGGTAAGAAAACTTTATCTGAATCACTAAAACAAAGTTAATTAATAAAATATGACATCTTTTCTATATCTTGCCCAAGTTTATTTTTTAATTATTGAAATAACATATACACTTAACATATACATACTCTCTCTGTATATTCACATACATTGATAAAATATATTAATTCATAATGAAAAGCAGCAGTCTTCTGCCCTGTCCTACCTCTTCTCACCCTTATTATCTACTCCACAAGTGTTCGTTTCTTCCTAGTTTCTGTTTCTTGGTTGTTGCCCTCATATCTACTTGTATTCTCGAAGGGAAAGGAGTAATATGCTGGGCGCAGTGGCTCACACCTGTAATCCCAGCACTTTGGGAGGCCAAGGCGGGTGGATCACCTGAGGTCAGGAGTTTGAGACCAGCCTGACCAACATTACGAAACCCTGTCTCTACTAAAAATACAAAAATTAGCCGGGCATGGTGGTGCACACCTGTAATCCCAGCTACTTGGGAGGCTGAGGCACAAGATTCACTTGAACCTGGGAGGCAGAGGGTGCAGTGAGCCAAGATTGTGCCACTGCACTTTAGCCTGGGCAACAGAGGAGAATCCATCTAAAAAATAAAAATTAGCAGGTTTGGTGGCTCACGCCTGTAATCCCAGCACTTTGGGAGGCAAGCTGGGTGGATCACCTGAGGTCAGGAGTTTGAGACCAGCCTGGATAATATGGTGAAACCCTGTCTTTATTAAAAATACAAAAATTAGTCGGTTATGGTAGCTTGTGCCTGTAGTCCCAGCTGCTGGAGAGGCTGAGGCAGGAGAATCGCTTGAACCTGAGAGGCCGAGGTTGCAGTGAGCTGAGATGGCACCACTGCACTTCAGCTTGGGCGACAGGGCGAGACTCCATCCGGAAAAAAAAAAAAATTTTTTTTTTTAAAGGAAAAGGATAATAGACATTTTTTTCCCCCAGTCCCTTGCAAAGACTTATTTGCCTGTGAGCTTATGGTGAATGAGAGGAGGAGGGTGGAGGTACAGTTCTGTGGTGCATGCTCTCTGTTTCAGGCTGAAAGTCACAACATGAAAAACCAACAGATGGATCCATTTACCCGGCGGCAGTGCAAGCCTACCATCGTTTCTAATGTGAGTGCTGAAAGAGGACGTTTTAGTCAGGACCTAGATTCTAGGACGTAAAATGAATTCCATTAGGAAATTAATAAAGAAGTTAAAAATAATGTTTTCTTAGCTGGGATTTGCTTGTCTGAAGCTCTGGGGTCTGGATACTTCCTTTTTTATCTGGCTGTAGGGCATATAGGTAGTGAAAACATGGCATGGATTTATAGAAACCTAGTGACTGACCCCCATATCAGGGTGGGTTTATGGTGCTCCAGACCTTAGTAATGTGTCTCTTAGCCAGGGCCTGGCTGGGCTGGGCTTGGCTTTCAAGCTTTTAATTGCTTTTTTTTTTTTTTTGCTGCTTTGAGGAAAACCCCACTAGCTGCTGATGGGTCTGCTGTGGTGCTTGTGATGTTAGTTTGGTAGGTGGGAAAGAATCTGGCAGTAGGACTCTGTGAGTGTCAAACGATTTCTAAAATAACTTATTTTCTTTTTCAGTCCAGAGACCCAGCTGTTCAAGCTGCCATCTTGGCCCAGCTGAATGCAAAATATGGTTCTGGAGTGTTACCAGATGCTCCAAAGGAAATGAGCAAGGCAAGTGTGGTACCACCCTGTTGCCTGCTGAGCAAGGCTGCTGGCTCAGACACCAAACAAGCACCTTGTCTAGTTTGGGCTTGATTTTTCCACCTTGAGGAACAGGGAGTCCCTCTTGGAGTCTCTTCTCCATCCCAGTTATTTACAAACATAATCAACAGACAACCTTAATACTAAACCTAACACCACTGTTTACCTAGGGCCTTGAGTGTGTTCTTTGGCTCCTGGCTTTTAGCCCTCGACATCCCCTTTTCTCCTATGTAAAATGAGGGTACTACTATATATCCTGCCAACTTCACAGGAGGAGAGATAGCATAAGGATAAGACATTGTAAAAGTGAAAGCTTGTTGAAAATGGCACATTTAAAAGCAGTTTTCTGGCTGGGCGCAGTGGCTCATGCCTGTAATCCCAGCACTTTGGGAGGCCGAGGTGGGCGAATCACCTAAGGTCAGGAGTTCAAGACCAGCTTAGCCAACATGGTGAAACCCCGTCTCCACTAAAAATACAAAAAAAAATTAGCTGAGTATGGTGGCAAGCTCCTGTAATCCCATCTACTCGGGAGGCTGAGGCAGGGGAATTGGTTGAACCTGGGAGATAGAGGTTGCAGTGAGCTGAGATCGCCCCATTGCACTCCAGCCTGGGTGACAAGAGCGAGATTCCATCTCAAAAAAAAAAAAAGCAATTTTCTGTCCAAGTTAAGCCTTTTCCAGTTGCAGTCTAACTGGTCTAAGGACTTTTGAAATATTAAGTCAGGAAGTTACCTGTTGTTGTAAGCCCACCCTTTCTACCTTCATACCACAGACATGAGCCTGCCCTCTTTTCTGTGCTTTTAGCCTTCAGGAGAGAAAGCTCTTTGTTCTTGTTCTCTCCTGTCCTCCCTCTGAGAGAAGGAATCAGAAGGGGGCCTTAGTAGGAAAATCTAATGAACTCAAATAAGAGCTTTCTACCATCAGTGGCTGCTGCTGCCTGAAATCCACTTGCATTTATGCTGTTATCATTAGTTTTCCTCTTCACATTCCAGGGTCAGGGCAAAGATAAAGATTTGAATTCTAAGTCAGCCAGTGACCTCTCAGAAGATCTGTTCAAAGTACATGATTTTGATGTGAAGATTGATTTACAAGTTCCCAGCTCAGGTATGTGAGGGTGGAGGGTGATGGTGAGGGCTGAGGACCAGCTGGATCCATGGTTCTCTGGGGTAACAAGGAAGCCCACTTTTAAGGGAAGAAATGGGGGTGTTGGCTCATCGACATCCACAGGCCAGGCCAATACAGGCTGCAGGTATGGTGAAAAGGGAATAGGGCCACAGTCAGGAGGCTGCCTACCATAGTGAAGCACGGGACTAAGAGGACTTTGTGGGATCTCAGCTGCCAACTTGCTCTTCTTTGCCACAGAGTCAAAGGCTTTGGCCATCACCTCCAAGGCTCCACCAGCCAAGGATGGGGCTCCAAGGAGATCTCTGAACTTGGAAGACTACAAAAAACGACGAGGGCTTATTTGAGCACACCCAGCTTGCTGCTTCTGACCCTGCATGCCCCATCGCAGTGTCCCGCCTTTCCTCCTTTCCTTTGATTTAGCCTCTTTGGGCTGGAGCAGCTGTTGAACTGGGAAGAGACTCTAAACTGCCAGTCATCTGTAATATAAACCATTTGCTGTATAGACCTCCCTTGTCTGCACACCATCTCCCACCAGCCTCCCCTCCCCCCAGGGCCCCACGCAGTATGGGCCTGGGCTCTCTTGGGCTTTATTCATGTCTTTAGATTTGTGTTTGCCTTTTGTTTTTTTTTAACTGCGCAGTTCATTGGCCACTCTGCACGCATTCAGTATTACCGTGGAGCTGGGAATCTTGCTGGAGCCCCTGGGCGATAGCAGCAGCACAGGGTGGTCTCCTCTACAGACTGCCTTGGCCCACCCATTGAACATTCGGCACTTGACCTTGTGGAGGGAGTGGGGATTGGGCACCTGCAGTCCTCCTTCCTTCCTTTATCTTTCTCTTCTGCCCTTCTTTTTGGAAGAAGGGTTTTCAAAACCAGTTTAGTTTCCAAAACGTGTACATTTGTTGGGTGGGGGGGGTCTAATTTGAGAGAGCGAGAGTGTGTATGTGTGTGTGTGTAAGTGTGTGGATTTTTTTATCATTTTTTAAAAATGCAGTACTCTTTGTATCAGTCTGTCATGGGTCTATAGCTGTTTCAGATTTTTTTCAGCTGTACTTGAGCATCTGAAACTGCAAGAAAGAAACTCATTAAATGTGATTCTTCTTACTAAACGGGCCTGACTGCTGTAGCTGTGTAACCTCCCCATCCCCACCTGCTCCTCCCCATCTCTTCCTGACTTTGGAGAAAACTCCCCAGTTTAGCCCCCTGACCTGCAGGCTGTGTCCTGGCACGTAGGGAAGGGAAGTCCATGGCCACGTACCAGGTAGGGCAGAGAATGTCTTGCTCATCCCGTGGGTGCAGACCACAGCTTCTTGGCTGAACATAGAACTTCTTTTCCTCACTCAGTATACCAGCCTCTTCCTAGTGATTCTGTTTTGCTGATTCGGCAAGAATTACATTTTGTTTTGTTTTGAAGAGAATAACTCACCATGAATGTGGAGAGCAAACACAAAAAGAATTAGGTTGCGCTGGGCGTGGTGGCTCACACCTGTAATCCCAGCACTTTGGGAGGCCGAGGAAGGCGGATCACCTGAGGTCAAGAGTTCGAGACCAGCCTGGCTAACATGGTGAAACCCCGTCTCTACTAAAAATACAAAACTTAGCCGGGCATGGTGTTGCCTGCCTGTAATCCCAGCTACTCGGAGGGCTGAGACAGGAAAATCTCTTGAACCCAGTAGGTGGAGGTTGCGGTGAGCCGAGATTGCACCACTGCACTCCAGCCTGGGCAACAAAGTGAGACTCTATCTCAAAAAAAAAGAATTAGGTTGCAAATGTTTCAAGCATGTGCAGTTTTGTGTGTGTGTATACATATATATGGTCAGCATATATATTGTTGTGCAGCTAGGGTGAAGCCAGCAGAGGTGTGTATGTCTTTATGAAATGTTTGAAAAGAGATAAGCTGACTGCTTGATAATCATTCTCAGGTGTAAAGCTCCAAGTGTAAATAAAAGTGGCATTTAACAAATCTTTTCAGAACAAAGTACAGCTGACTATATATACCAAGAACTAAGCTAAAGGAACAGCTGAGAGCTCCTGATCTCCACAGGAGAGGAATCCAAAAGCTCTGCTTTGTACTTCTTCACCCTGCTTTTGTATAAGGAAGGGGGATGATGGGAAATCATGGACTTGTAAGTTGTATTTAAACATAAAAATGAACTTGGTAACTCTTTTGGGTTTAGTAGAGCCTCAGTGTCGCTTTAACTTAGTTTACATTTTTTTATTTTAAAAACAGCAATGGATGGTTTTAAAGGAGTATTGTGACTGTAAAATTGCTAAATATGACTGTAACACAGCTGTGTGGTAGCTGTGACACAGTTTGGTTGGGCAAAGGAGTGGTGATGGACTCGTTAAATCATATATACTTGAATAGTCCATTGACCGAAACTCTTTATAGACTATTGTGTAAATGTGGAATCACAGACTGTTAACATTGCCTGGACTCCAGCAGAGTCCTGGAGCTGCTGGGACCTCTCCTATCATGATGAACTTGGACTTTTTTTTTGATTTCTGGTTTTAAAAGACATAAAATTATAGAATCCAGATAATTTGCTGGAGTCATTCTGATCCACCATGTAGATCTGTATTTAGTATCATTTGGATTTGGAGAAGTGTTGATTACATTATGGCTGTGTAATAAAATTTTTATTAAAACTGCATCACACTGTAGCTACTTTGCCACTACCTCCCCACACACAGCTGCTACAACACCGCGAGATACCAAAGAACACAGCAGGGAGAAAAGCCAACCAAAGAAGACCAGAAGGTAATTTTTCACCCGAGTAGCCTCCGTAGCAATTGAGATCAAGACTCAGGACTTGTCTCCAGTCTCAGCTGAGGCAGGGCCTCTGAACCAAGATCTTGGCCAGGCATTGGCTTTGTCCCACCAACTAGGATTTCTTGGTGGCTCATACTATTTCTTGTGCTAGGGAATTGTCTCAGTGGGCCCCTCTTGCCTCCACAGTATGGTTTCACTGTTGAAGGGTGCAGCACCCAAGGTGGTTTTATGCATTTTTTTAGTTCCTTCCAAGAAGCAAAAAGGCCAGTGTCCATATGCCTAGTTCATAATTCATATAGGTCTGTTTGCCTGTCTTGTTTCTGGCAGGTGTAGGGAAAGTCTACTGCCTGCCACTTGCCACTTCCCTTCAAAAAGAATTGTTTTTGCTGGCCAAGGATCTAATGTATAGAAAAAAGAAAAAAAAAGAATTGTTTTTGCTTTTGTGAAGTCCTGACTTGTCACTCAAACTGTACCAATATTGTAAATAAACTTTATGCCATTTTAACAAAGGGATCAGATTTAGTCTAAGGATTGCATCCTGAGTGGCAACTCTTAAAGCTGTTTTGAAAGTCCAGGAGAGTCTCTCTTGTTCTTTTTCCTCCTCTGTGCCCACAAAAGTGGAAGTTACCATTGTCAACTCTTTAGCAGCCTGGTTTCCCTAAGCCTCTCTGGTAGGGAAATCTCCAGTTGTCCTGGTTTACCTCCTATCTTGGTAAGAGACCAACAAGCTTTAACAGAGCTAAGTAGACCCCTGATGTATTGCCTAACCCTAGTGAGAATCTGGGCCTTTCAACCTTGTTTTTTTTTCCCCCGCTTTTTGAAACAGGGTCTCTGCTGTCCAGGCTCCATGGAGTACAGTGGTGTAGTCACAGCTCACTGCAGCCTCAACCTCCCAGGCTCAAGTGATCTGCCCATCTCAGCATCCCAAGTAGTTGGGACTATAGTCATGCATCATCTCACCTGCCTAAAATTTTCTGTTGAGACGGAGTCTTGCTGCTGGTCTTGAATTCCTGGCCTCAAGTGATCCTCCCACCTCAGGCTCCCAAAATGCTGGGATTGCAGGCATGAGCCACTGTCCAGCTCCTTTCACCTTTAAATTGGCCTAGGCATAGTTCCTTTGCTTTCCTATCTTCTGGCCATTATGAGTATGAAGGGGGTGCCCAGGGACTGAGTGTGGCTATGGAGGAAACATTGATCTTCCTTTATGCCCCCATGCTGGGAAGATCTGTAGTCCTCCCCTTCCCCAGTGCCTGAGGCTGTGTCTCTAACCTCTCTGAACACATTTTTACCTAGGAAGCAAGAAGATCCTGGATCTTCTACACCCTTTAAGAAGGCAAGAGATGACAGTCACGGTGGTAAGAGCCATGTCCAAGACTGCTTCTAGTGGTGGAAAGGTTGCTTACCCTGCAAATGCATCCAATGAGGTTTTCATCTACTCTGTAGCACTCCCATTATCTGCCGGGCATGGTGGCTCAAGCCTGTAATCCCAGCACTTTGGGAGGCTGCGGCAGGCGGATCACGAGGTCAAGAGATCCAGACCATCCTGGCCAACATGGTGAAACCCCGTCTCTACTAAAAATACAAAAAATTAGCTGGGCGTGGTGGTGCGCACCTGTAGTCTCAGCTACTCAGGAGGCTGAGGCAGGAGAATTGCTTGAACCCTGGAGGCAGAGGCTGCAGTGAGCCGAGATCGCGCCACTGCACTCCAGCCTGGCACCTGGTGACAGAGCAAAAGCTCTGTCTCAAAAAACAAAAACAAAAAGCACTCCCATTATCTAACTGATGGGAGCAGTGGGGCCTAGAGAGCAGGGGTTCTGGGCAGATGACAACAGCTTGCTTATCTTCCAGGATTTGGGTGCTCTGGGGCAGCCACTTGCTACCTATCTCTGAGAAGGCAGAAAGCTGACCACCTGGGGTGCAACTGGAAGGAAGAAGGGTGCTACGTTGGTCAACTTCCTCTCCCTGGCCATGTTTTCCCAGGAGGGATACTGTTCCTGTAGGTGGCTGTGATCCAGCAGCCCTAGAAGCCAACCCCCAGCTCAGATTTTCTTCATGATTTCCCTGACCCAAGTGGGGACTACTGAGCTCCCTCGGCAAGGAGGGTGTTAAGGAACTGAAAGGAATGGCAGCGCTAAGACAGGGCCAAAAGGCAGCCTGCCTTCTCTAAGTTTCCACAGGCCAGCCCCAGGGGACAGGGAGATGGGAATTCTAGGCACTGGAGCATAGATAGGCATGTCTAGGGCTTCCAGACCATTCTCAGGATCGAAGGGAGGGCCAAGAGCCAAAAGGCACCCAGGCTTAGGAAAGGGGCCCTTCTGCCGCTTACAGATCCCTGCTCTGCCACTTACTACTATCTAGAGCGGAGCTACTTAACACCTTTGAGCCATAAGTTTTCCACCTTTGGAAAAAAAAAAACCTGTCAGGATCGTGTTGAATATTAAGTGTTCCTGTCCTCAGTAGGGGTTTGTTAAATGCTGTTCTTAATGAGAGTGAAGCTGCTGGACCCAGGAGGAGAGGAAGCACCCCCGGAGTGGGCTGACGAAGGGCTGAAGCACTGGGCAGTGGGCAGGACCTAGAGACGCCAGGCAGCCCCACTTTGGGCAGGGGTGGGGGAGAAGAGACCCTGCCTCCAGATCGAGGTTCTCACAGGTCGGCTCTGGGCTGGCCTGGGGAATCCTCCAGGGAATGAGGGCTGCCTCGGGCCAGGCCCTTGTTGTCACTACCCCAAGGCCAATGCTCACCTTCTTTACTGACCAGCCTTCTGAAGGCGTTGAAGGCTGCCAGCTCGCCACCTTCCTGCTGGCCCCAACTGAGGCCTGACCTACCCACCACCCTCAAGAGTAGTGAAAACTCAAAATAGTACCAAACCAGAAGGTAAGTGTAAAGAAGCCCAACAAAATTCTGACCCTTCCCATGATGATTACCTCCATACTTCTTCAAAAGATAGATACTTTTGGGCCCTGCATAGTGTCTTCCACCTGTAATCCCAGCAGTTTGGGAGACCAAGGAGGGAGGATCGCTTGGGGATAGGAATTCAATACGAACCTGGTTAACATAGACTCCATTTCTATTTAAAAGAAAAAAAATCGAATACTTTTCCTCATTTAGCCATGGATGGGCCTGCTTGGCTAAACACGTGCGATGCAGCACACCCCTTCACCTGGCAAGGCCGAAAGGCGCAGGTTGACCATGGATTTTGCGTGGCAAGCCCTTCGGTGCTCTCCGCGCGGCGTCTCCACTGCACCCCCTGCACTGGCCTGGGCGCCACCCGTGTCCACGGCACCAGCCTCCGAATCCCTGGCCCCGCAAGCCGCTGGTGCCGTTAGCGCCCAGCCCACGTGGCAAGGGAGGAGGCGCGGGGCCGCTGCATTCCAGGGCGCTCTGCTCCCCTTCCCCACTTTTTCCCCACTCCTGGCCGGCAGCCTCAGAAGAGCCGGGGTCCCAGCGGCCCAGGGCGCAGATAACCCCGGACGCAAGTGTTGGGAGTTGCGAGCTGGACCCCCGCTTGCACACGGCCCACACGGAGGCGCATGGGCATTGGGGTCCCGGACCCTGCGCCACCGCATGCTCTGTGGACTAGGTACCCACGCATGCCCGAGGTCTGGAGGTCACGCCTGCAAGCGCAGAGCTCACAGATGGAACTAGGAGCTGCACCTCCCAACCACCACCGCCCCCGTCCCCCACGTCACCGTGACTACACGATGCAGGGAAGTTCCCTGGTGGCGGTGACGGTGACGGCGTCAGGGAGAGAGGCCGACAAAGTCCCAGGCGTTCCTACAGTGGGCGCCTCCCCAAGCAAGCCGAGTCCCTGACTTCAGACGCTTCCTGTCCCCTTCGCCCCTCTTTGCACTGGGTGAGGTTCTGCGGGCTCTGAGTTCTGGAGAAGAAGGAGGATCACAGGAACGCAGGCTCCTGAGAGGGATCGGAAACCTTGCTTCTGAAGTGGCAGAAGCATGTTCTTACTGCGCGTACACAGGCGTGGTAACACATTTGATTCGTTTTAGACAAGGCTGACAGATTGTGGAAGGTCAGTGAACGCTGCTAGATCCTGAGCCCTGCTGACTTAACCTTGCACCCATTCATGGATATTCACAGAAAGTCTAGTCTATCCATTTATGAAGTCAGAGATTGCCTGGAAGGAGGGGAAACCTAGAGGCGAAGAAAAGCGGGTGGGGCTGGGAGCTGAGGGCTCACCTGTCAGGTGAAGACACATTCACGCCTCTTTCCAGGAGAAACAAGACCCTCGCCACTCTCCCATCCTTCCACGTCCACTGGGCTCTGGGCAGCCCTCCAGCACCCTCTCTAGTAGGCCCTGACAGAGAAGGACATCGAACCCACCAGAGGTGAGGAATGTTCTGTATGCAGGAAACAGCTGAGAAAGCAAAACTCCCAGCGCCCTCATTGACAACCCCTTGGAAAGAGTGGGAAGGCAGCCACTGAGTGTCTCCGGGCCTGTTTTCTTCTTGGGCCCTTTCTGGTTTCCTTCCTCCATAAGACAATGAAAATGATAACGCTATCACTCCCGGGAAGCAGGGGGGCATCACAGGATCCACGCATTCCTGTGTCCTTTGCACCTAGCACAATAGCAGCTGCTCTATGAAAGTGTGTCTGCTCTGTGAATTCTTGAGTGAATCACAGGTATTGTCACAGAATATTGGAGTCTTTGGGTCATAAAGTACCTTGGAAGGACACCAAGTTCCACAGAGCATGTCTGGGAGTTAATAGAATAAGACCTTGCACCACCGGGTCCAGTGGAACATGACAGCCCAACCCCCTCCTACCTACCCACCCCCACCACACACACCACACACACTACACACCACACCACACCACACACCACACGTACCACACACCACACACATACCACACACCACACACCCA